GGATTGACCTCATTGTAATCTCAACTTCTTGTATATTATTTTCTTCAGCTTAGTATATTTACAACGCGGACTCATGCGGAAGATCTTTGTATCTCCTTTAAACACTTGACCGTTCGGTCCAAAATATCTTCTCCCATTGTAATATAGAAGGCATATTACATCGTTATTACTCTCACTCATTATGTACTGAATAGCAAAAAGTAACAAACAAAAATGGAAACTTCAAGGAAAACGGACGAGAATGACTTCGGGAGAGGAAATGGGGTGTGTATAAATAGAACTGAGTTCGCTACCTAGGGCAGCGAACTATAACTGTCGGCAGGTAGTTCGCTTACCTAGGCAGCAAACTTGTGGGGGACTGCCACGTGGCACACAATTCGCTGAACGGGAAAGTGAATTGCGTCAGTGGCTGCCACTTGTCTCCTAGTTCGCTGTCAACGTCAGCGAACTATGTGTGCCAATTGACACATGGCAAAGAGTCTGCCTAGTCCCCCAGCGAACTACGTTGGGGTTAGACACGTGGCAAACCAAGTCCGCCTTGTCTGTCAGCGAACTCTTCATACGTGTCAGCATTTATTGCACTCAAGTTCGCCTGTGTCAGTAGCGAACTTGAGCACCATCAGGCTGCTGACACATCACCACACCAAGTTTGCTACTACTCTCAGCGAACTTGCCTGCGTGGCAGTTTGGAAAAAAGGTGCGTAGGCGTGGCATTTTGGCAAATAAGACTTGGAACAGTGGCATAATGGTCACTGTTCTGAGTTTAATTGGGTGAAAGGGACTCACCTTATGACAAGATATTTAAATAAATAATTAGAGTAACTAGGTCAAACCAACCTGAAACACAACCAATGAATCCTAGTAGTTGGTATCATGAGTCAGAAGAAGAATCCAGCGACCCCCAATTGATTGAACATAAACCAAAATCGAAACGCAAATCCAAGGCAATGTGTTTGTTGGTCCTCTATCTCCTTCCTCCAAAACACTTTAGAGGTGGTGGTGGTGGATCACAGAGAGGGAAGAGGGTATGTGAAGTATCGATTAGGTAGTACTTAGCGTAGGGGAGAAATTAGATAAATACGAAGAGAAATAAGAGAAAAAAGGGGGAAAAAATAGAAACAAAGAGGATGGTCGAGCATGCAGATGATGAAGTTTTTGAATAACAGAAGATGAAGAATGGATGAAGCGAAAATTAGGGTTGAGATGAGGGGGAATTTTTGACATATATGGAGGGAAACGAAAAAGAAAAGAATTCTAAGTTGTAAATTTCTAGTACAGAGACAAAGATGTAATATAAAGTTTTACTGGAAAAACATTGCTTCCAAATTTCAAATAATATAATATAATTTAATATATAAAAACAGAGTAGTTAAAATTTGAAGAAGAATTTGAAAAAAAACTTATTTAAAATATTAAAAGTATCCACTTTAAATATAAATTTTAATATTAAAAACAAAAGTGTATTTTAATAATATATAACTAAATATAATTTTATAAATAATACAATTTAATAAAAAAATGTTAAAAAAGATATCTGGAACTTAGTGCGCTATGTAGCACAATTTCATTACCCGATAAAAATTAATGTACCACTCACAATTAAAAAAATTTAAAAAAAAACGAAGGAAAAATGTCATTTAATTAATGTACCAATCACAATTAATATATCAATCATCAATCACAACTAATGTATCAATCACGAATCACAATTAATGTCCAATCATAATTAATTTTGATGGGTACATTAATTGTGATTGGTGATCAGTACATTAATTGTTTTTGATACCATTGTTACAAATTTGAACTAAATTTGTGAGAGATAAAATATGCCAAATGAGGTTTCATTACGTAGATATCGAAAAGTCATGTGAAATAAAATAAAAAATCATATGATTTGGATATCAGAATTAAAAGTTATGGCCTTCCGGCGTGATTGGTGATTTGCACAATCAAAAGTTAATCTCATTTGTGCACTAATCGTAATTGGTGGTTGGCACATTAATTATGATTGGTATATGAATTAAATAGCCATTTTCCTTCATTTTTCTTTTTCTATTGTAATTGGTACATTTATTCTGATCGAACAACGGGATTCTGCCACATAACCCACCAAGTTCACTACTCCTGGTAATGAACTTGGTCCAATCAGCTTTTCTGCAACGTGTCACGAAATTATTGGCTACCAAGTTCGCTACCAGTCGTAGCGAAATTTGGACACGTGGAAGTCAGTTTTTCCTACGAAAGTATGCAATGTGGAAGTCAGGTTTTATTATGCTAGTTACCACCTACCAAATCTGTGAATTTTTCGACAGAGTATGATTTCTATCGAAAAATTCATAAATATAATTTCTTTTTTATAAAATGAATTCCGTCGAAAAGTTTTTAAATATAATTTCATTTACGATTTATTTTTTATATGACTTTCGATAGAATTCATTTGTCGAAAATTTTCAAAGGAATATGATTTCCGTCAAAAAATTCGTAAGTTAATTTTCGATTTTGATTTGTTTTTTATAATGGTTTTCGACTGAATTTATTTTTCGTCGAAAGTTTTCGACAGATTATGATTTTCGTCGGAAAATTCATAACTATAATTTCTTTTTTGATTTATTTGTTATAATGGTTTTCGACGGAATTAATTTTTCGTCGCAAGTTTTCCACGGAATAAGATTTTCGTCGAAAAATCATAAATATAATTTTTTTAATTTTTTATTATTTATAATGGTTTTCGACCGAAAATGAATTCCGTCAAAAAATTTCTAAATATAATTTCATTTACGATATATTTTTTTATATGATTTTCGACGAAATTCATTTTTCGTACAAATTTTTCCAAGGAATATGGTTTTCGTCGAAAAATTCACAACTATAATTTATTTTTTGATTTATTTTTTACAATGATTTTCGATGGAATTTATTTTTCTTAGAAAGTTTTCAACGGAATATGATTTTCGTCGAAAAATTTCTTTTTTGATTTATTTTTTATAATGGTTTTCGATGGAAATCATTTTTTGACGAAAATTTTCGACCGAAACTAAATTCCGTCAAAAAATTTCTAAATATAATTTTTTTGATTTATTTTTTATATGATTTTCGAAAAAAATTCATTTTTCGTCGAAAGTTTTCTACGGAATATGATTTCCGTCAAACAATTCACAACTATAATTTCTTTTTTGATTTAATTTTTATAATAATATTCGACGGAATTCATTTTGCGTCGAAAATTTTCGACCGAAACTGAATTCCGTCGAAAAGTTTCTAAATATAATTTCATTTACGATTTATTTTTTTATATGATTTTTGACGGAATTCATTTTATGTCGAAAAATTCATTTTTATGATTTATTTTTTATAAAATTTTCGACAAAATTATATTTCCGTCAAAAAATTTCGACTGAATATAATTTCCGTCAATTTTTTTTTATTTTTTCTATCAAAATTTTGGACGGAATACATTTTCCATGGAAATTTTCATCTTTAATTTCGACGGAATATTTTCCGTCGAAAATTAAAACTTTTCTAGTAGTGATATTTTCGTTTGAATTATAGTTTTCGTTTTATCGAACCACAAAGTTTGACCAACGAACAGATTGATGTATCCTATTTTATGATTCGGCCGGGTGATAAAATTAGGCTTAATTTTTGATTTGCATATATTTCCGTTTCTATTTAATTTTCATTAAAGGTATGGGCTTATAATATGGGTTTAACACATGAAATGATTTATACTCTATTTTATTACATAAGGATATCCATTCAAAGTAACCATAAATATATATATTTTTTTTTTTTTTGGAGATAAGTAACCATAAATTTGATACGGCTATATCATGTGAAATGAGTATCTTTCATTGGAAGATTAAATTGCTATTAGAGAATAATATTTCTGATTTTATTGCAAATTATTTTTATCATACTCAAATAATATTGTTTGTATTGCGACATAAGAATATATTAAATCCTATTAATCACAGTTTTAACATTAAATCTTTCAATGGAAACAAGTATTAAGTATTCTATTATTTCTATGTTCGTACTAATTTCATTTATTTTAAATCAATGGTTTAGCAAATTGATTTACCAAATAAATAATATTTTGTTTATGAGTTTTATTAGATAATTATTGAATTAGTGAAATAATAATGTTAGTATTATGAAATACGAAAATATTAAACTCATCTAATTGCATTTTTAGCATAAAATCTTTTTATAAAAATAAATACTTTCTATAAGATATTCTGTAATTATTAGGAAAGACTTACAATTTGAATTCAGAATTTAGAATTTAGAATTCATATTGACAACTAATTCTATTTCTATAATTACGTATACATTAAATACAGAATATTAACATATTAGCTAATAGCTAATCACATTACCGTTAACTCTCAATCAGTAAAAGTCTCACAAAATCCACACCAATAGAAAATCTATTAAAACCGTCAAATTTTTGAATACCACAAGATTATTTTTATTTTGTTTAAAATCCTGATTGAATATCAGCGAATTTGAACGGACTCTAAAATAATCTTTTAAAATCCTAATCAAATACCAAATGACTTTTTTCCAATCTTTTAAAATTCTAATTGAATACCAATGAATTGTTTTGGTCCAAAAATAGTCTATTAAAATCATTTGAAATCTCAATCCAATACACACCCTTAAAATTTATACTGATAACTAATTCTATTTCTATAATTATGTATACATTAAATACAGAATATTAACATATTAACTAACAACTAATCACATTACCGTTACCTCCTAATTCTATTCCTATAATTACATATACCTTAAGTGTAGAATATTTCCAAAACAGTGTTTGTTCCTTTTCATGTATTTATTTCATTCTATAACTCATTATTGTATTGATAAGAACATATTAAATCCTCTTAATTATGTTTTAAGCATTAAATATTTTTTATTTTTCAACCTATATATAAAGAAGTTGAAATTGTACTATCATCAAAGGAAGAGAGCTTGGGTAAAAAAGTACGAAAATGGGTGCAAACTATTTGTTTATGTTGTTGTGCTTTTTAGTTTGGACTGCAGATGCAAAATTTGAGGTTAAGCCTTTCAATGTGAAAGACTATGGTGCAATTGCAAATGGAAAGATGGATAACAGTGCGGTAATCAACATGCATATACTTTTTCTTTTTTTTTTACTAACAATATGATTTTAATGAGCTAACAAACTTGTTAATCTTTTTGTAAAGGCATTTTTGAAAGCATGGAGTGATGCATGCAAATGGGATGGACATGCATCAATTTTGATCCCAAAAGGAACCTACATGCTCAACCCAGTCATATTTGTTGGTCCATGCAAGGGTCGGACGACCTTTGAAATAGAGGGAATTTTAAAAGCTCCAACTGATCGATCTTTGTACCCTAATCTCGATAAGTGGATAAATTTCAGATATATCGACCAACTTAGGGTGACTGGAGGTGGCATATTGGATGGTCAAGGATCTTCTGCTTGGCCACCCAAAGGTAGCCGTAACAATCCACGATGGCCAACTCGTCCTGTGGTAAGTTTGTTGTTTTTTCATAAATTAAGTTTTTCTTTTTCGTTTACAAACTACGTTATCTCCTCCCGGGACAACAGTAGGTATACTATCTTCTATCGGGAGAACATAGTGTAATTTATAAAAATTTGTAAAAAAAATTTGTAAACGGATCATTCCCCTATATAATATCTTGCTTATAGTCTTTATTCTACCTTACCATCGAATCATAATGCAAACCACTATAATGGAGTAATATGGGTAATATGTTATCAATAATAACATATTATTCATTGTTACAATGATGTTTTGATTTTTTTTCTTTCGTTGTATACATGTTATATAAATAACATCTTGTTTTGTTGATACATTTGATCAGACAATGTTATTTGATTTCATCACCAACGGTCATGTCGATAACTTGCATTCAATTAACAGCAAAGGTGGCCATTTCATTGTATTTGGGAGTCAAAACATGAGCTTCACAAATCTAAAATTATTAGCCCCCGGCGATAGCGCTAACACAGACGGTATCAAAATCGGTGCGTCAAATGGCATAAATATCACGAGTTCAATTATTGGCACTGGCGATGACTGTGTTGCTATGATTTCTGGCACAAGAAAGGTCCGAATTGAAGATGTTTATTGTGGTCCTGGTCATGGAATTAGTGTTGGAAGCCTTGGTAAGAATGATTGGGAAGAAGATGTGCGAGACATATTTGTGAAGAATTGTACATTTAATGGTACTAGTGATGGTCTTAGAATCAAAACATGGGCTGCTCCTTTGAAAAAAACTTTGATGGCTTCTAATTTTGTCTATGAAGACATTATTATGCATAATGTTGGCCATCCCATTAACATTGATCAAGAATATTGTCCATATCCTCCTTGCGGAAAGGTTTGTACTTCAAAATTCACATTTGAATATTATAATTATGAACCATTTCTCATTCTTTTTTTCTTTTTTTTGCTTGCTTTATTGGTAACATAAATGGATACGTGAGTACTGGTATTTTGTAATGGCAGAATTTTATTTTGGTATTTTGTTACGTAATAGAACAATTATTTAGGAAAAATAAGATGTTTGGTAAATGATTATTTTGGAAAAAAATAGTTTTAAATTATCTTTAAAAACTAATTAAAAGTTTTTTTAATCTCAAAACAAATTAATCTCAAAACGCACTATATATTCATCGTTGCTATTGATTTATTTAGCACATGATCATAATAGCAAAAGTTGAACTTATATATTTTTTTTTGTAGGTGGCTTCACACGTGCAAATCAGCAATGTGAGATACAAAAATATTCAAGGAAGTGGCAATACTGAAATTGCAGTGAGCTTTAAATGCAGTAAAGTTAAGCCATGCCAAAACATAACTGTGGACAACATTGATTTGTGGAGTTATGGTCGCAAAACAAATATAGTCAATATGTGTTCCCATGCCCATGGTACATCTTATGGCAAACAGATTCCCCCATCCTGCATATAGTGTTGCTTCATCTTAAAGAGTTTAAACAGCTACGATTTGTATTTTGTATTCGATGCATTTTTTTCAATAAGAATAATGCTAAATGTCTAATATATTTTAAATATTAGACATACAACAAATATATATGCTGAGTTATTAGATGATATATGAATTTATGAAGAAAAAAAATGGTATGATATATTCTTCAACTTCAAGAATAAATTCAAAAATATCAAAATATTTGTTAAATGTTGTTTATATAATTCTATGGGTTTAGCTTTTCTTATGTTGTAGGATTGTAGGAGAGAAAAAAAGTAAAGAGAAGTTAAATGTGGATCCCATATTTTATATTAAAAAAGAAAAGAAAAATTATTTGGCACGAAAAACGAATTTGTGTAAGAAAACGAGAGTATCTCATGTGACATGAGAGTATTATTTCCCTAATTCTATATACTCTTCAAACAAATATATATTACCCAATAGCTAGTTGAGTATAAATCACTTTTCTATTTTTATTGTCAGAGTTTCGTACACTTGTTGTCCAAAATTAATCACAGCACCATGGGAAGGACAATCTACCTTAAACAACCAAAAAAAAGTTGGTAAACCATCTAAAGTTCATACCTTCATTGCTACTGAATCCATTTTATTATAAAATGTAAAGATGGAGTGTAAAACATTTGAAAAGCAATAAATTGATTCTAAGAGGAACGAAGAATTTGGAACACACAAACCCTTATATTTCCTTTCACTTCTCAATGTTAGAGATAAAGAGGATGCTTTGGTTCATTTTCAGCTTTATTTGGGCTTAGAGCACTTAATTCACCTCCTTCACTTAATTCACCTCCTTTTTTGAGTTTATTATATTTTGGGTTTAAAATTCTTTGTCAAATTCTTTAAATAAGGTCCATATTTAGTGGATCAAATAAAAAATATAATGAGGAGGTGTGATTTTCATTCTTGATGGGTCAATATAATTTTTTTGTTAGTGGTCTCTATCCAAATATAATAATAAAAAAAATAAAAAAAATATGTGTAGGCTCTTATATTTGTTTTCTATTTCTTATATTTTTATGTTATATTGAAAAAAAAATTAATAGGAAAAATTCACTTCCGCCCTTATGGTTTCTTCGACTATCATTCTAGAGGTGATAAAATGGGCAGTCTGGTCTGGTCCGGCCGGGCCTGCCATTAACCTACTTAAAAATGAATCAGTCTGCTCCTCTCCGCCATCAACCCGCCAAAAAATGAGTCAGCCAGCCCTGCCTCGCTTTTGAGAGTGGATGGTAAAACTCAGCCCGCCCTGACCCGTTTAACGAGTGGGCTGATCAGCCTGACGAATCGAGCCCGTTTTGTCGGTCCTAACTTATAAACATTGCGGTTACAATGTATATCATTTAACCCTTTTGTCCCAAAAGTATCTTCATTATAATGGACGAATATCACCCAACAAATCTCCCTCTTCTGACATTAATGAATTAGGTTCAGCATCTCCCACACCTTCATACCAGTCTTCAAATTTTCTTGCGGGTACTGGCTTCGTCATCATATCGCACCAATTTCGGTCGATGTGCACTTTGGAGAGTTAGAGTTGTCCATCCTTCACAACATCCCGGATCCAGTGATACCTTACATCAATGTGCTTAGTGCGAGAGTGATAGGTCGAGTTCTTCACTGGAACAATAGTGCTTTGGTTGTCACACTTCAGCTCGTATTTGTCTTGAACATGGTCGAGTTCAAAGATAAACTTCTTCATCCATAACAATTCTTTGCAAGCCTTAGTCGAGGCTATGTACTCTGCCTCAGTTGTCGAAACTGCCTCACATTTTTGTAATTTAGATTGCCAGGAGACAACTCCTCCTGCAAAAGTCATCAAGCATCCAATAGTCTATTTCATCGAGTCGGCATCTCCCCCTAAATTAGCATTTGTGTAGCCTTGCAACTCCGCCTTACCTTCTCCAAAGCGGAGGCATAAATTCATCGTTCCTATGAGATACTTGAAGATCCACTTCACTGCTTCCTAGTGTTCTTTGTTGGGGTTGGACAAATACCGACTCACCATTCCAACAGCATATGCTAAGTTAAGTCTCGTACAGACCATCACATACATCAAGCTTCCGATGGCGGATTGGTACGAGATCTTCAATATCTCGTCTTTATCTTCATCAGACCTCAGACAATGCTTTTGACTCAACTTAATGTGTCTGGCTAAGGGAATGCTAAATGTTTTGACTTTGTCTATGCTAAATCTCTTTAGAATCTTCTCAATATATATTTTTTTGACTCAGTCACAGTAGCTTTCTAGGTAGGTTTTAGATAATTTTGATTTCAAGTATCTGCTTTGCAGGGCCTAGGTCCTTCATTGTGAAGGACAAGCTTAATGCCTTTTTCAGGGAGGTTATCCTAGTATTGTCTGCCCTACAATAATCATGTTGTCAAGGGAATGTAAATAGGTTAGGCTAGGCTTTACATTTAATAGGCCAGCCCTGCGTAAAAAACCTTATGTTTGGCCTGCCCTGTTAGCCTGTGTAGGTCCAAATTACAAGTCTGGCCCGACCTATATTTAAAAGAAAAAGTTTTGGTCTAGGCCTGTTAGCCTATTTAAGCCTATTAAACATTCAATAATTAAAAAAATAACTAAAATAATATTACTTTATTATTCAAAATTATTAAAATAATAATTTTATTTATTTTATTTAAAATAAATAATATGATATAGGCCGACCTATACGCTTATAGGCTCGACATGTATAAAAAGGCCTATGGCCTGCTTTCTAAATAGGTCTTTTTAAAAACCTATGTTTGTTCTACTTGACTATTTGTAATAGGCCAAGTATGTCCTAATATAGACTAGGTTGTAGGCCCTTGTAAGCCGGCCTAACCCATTTATACCCTTAATCGTCAACATATACAAGCAGAATCAGAAAGTCTCCGGCATCATATCCCTTAACAAAAACGCAGTGGTCGGCTCCCGTCTTCATAAACATGTGATTAGTAATAAAAGATTTAGACTTCTTGTACCACAGCCGAGGTGTTTGTTTTAAGCCGTACAGGCACTCTTCAAACGGCAAATCGGATCTTCTTTTCCTGAAGCTCAAAACCCTTCAGGTTGCTCCATATATATATCTCTTCATCAAGGTCGCCGTTGAGGAATGTCATCTTCACATCCATTTGTTCCACTTCAAGGTCCATTGAAGCCACCATGGCTAGTACAGTTCAGACCGAAGTCATTTTTACCATAGGAGAAAAAATCTCTTCAAAATCAACTCAATTCTTTTGATTGCAACCTTTCACTACAATTCTGGCCTTGCATCTCGACTTCTGATCATTCTCCTAATGTTTGATTTTATAAACCCACTTATTCTTTAGAGCTCGTCTCGCTTGAGGCAGCTTATTCAATTCATATGTCCGATTTTTGTGCAAAGACTTCATCTCGTCCTGCATTGCCTTCTCTCATTCTTTCTTGTCTAAGCTCGTCATGGCCTTATCATAGCTTTGGGGTTCTACATCTTCAGCAACAACAGTGTACTCGCTAGGTGGGTACCTTGTAGAAAGTCATCTCACACGTGTAAAGTGTCTAGGTTGATTTTCAATTTGAGAGTCCCACTCAATATTCTCATCTCGGACCTCAGTATAACCCTAAGATCCATCCAAACTGTTGCAAAAGGAGATCAAGAGACGGCAGTTGCATCGCAAACGACGACTGACAGCATCACCAGCAGCAAACAAAGAACAGCCCGATTCCGGAAACTGACAGCAAAGGATTCTGTTAACGTTGCTGAAACTGACTGTGAGGACTACTATTCGCACTATCTTCAAGGCACAGAAGGGTCAACTTTTGGGCATAAAGTTATGGTGGATGACAACAGATGTGGGTTTAGTGGAAGAAATGATGTTATGTATTCAACCGAGTCAGGGGAATCATTGAGGTTATTCTTTCAGATCCTGTTATTGAAGCTCTTATGGATGATGCAATGATACTATCTTGTGGATATTCATTGGGTGGAGGTAGCGTACATCATGTTATTAGAATAGTGAGTTCTAAGCCATCAAATGCCATAATTTTCAAACTGACCTCTTAGGTGACTAGTCATCTGAAAAGTCTTATTAACTATGGAGCTGACAAAAGACGAAGGAAATTATGCGTTCAGTGTGATGACCCATTCTTGTCATACTATGTATGCAATAACCAGAATTTGAATGGGATACTCATAGGTGCATGGGAGGAGATGATGGTAAACAAGGAAGAGGAAGAAGAAAGTCGACGGACAATGGCATATTTTTTGACAATTCATTTGGTTCAGGAATTGCAACTGATATTGGGGTCAAGAGGCTTCAAACAATGGGACCCAGGTGGGAGTTCTCTCACATCACATATTCTCTTCTCTTTACCTTGAGGACAAAGCAAGTTTTGGAGGGAGAATATTGATGGGTCTTTAATAAAATATCCAAGCTCATTAGTTAGGAACTAGTTATATATAGAGATGTTAGGATGAGTTTTTTATGCTGAGTATCATTTTGTAATTTGGGGATTAGGTTGGGGAATTTGGAGAGGAAATAGGAAAGCTCTCAAAGCTAGGTTGCCTTCCAGTGGAGTTTTTCCTTTCTTTTGATGTTTGTTATACTGGTTATTGTCACTGTAATTGTCTTTTAGGAGCATGCTCCATGAAATATTGAATTAATACAAGTATGTTGTTTTTATATTCTCTATCATTTGCTGTCATTTTACTAATAAATTGTTAGGATCCATCAATATAATATGGATTTATATTTTTTATTACATTGTTATGTAATAAAAAATACAAAGGAGTTCAACAGAGAAGTACACACATGTGAATACAAATACAAGTACGCACAATTTGAGTAGTTTATTCATAAGTACAAATTTACAAATTTGAGAACCACCATTGTGCCCAAAAAAGAAGGACTATACAACATTACTGTATTTATCTTGACACAATAATACATGTTAAAAAGAATTTATTCTTCAGATTGCCAAGCATTTACAGCTAATTACATTGTAATCAGAAATTAATTTGGGTATAGAAGAACCCAACATCACCCCTCCCCCATTCCCCAAATCACCAACATGAACAACCACAGTGCTAAGCCCTTTACCAACAACAAAAATGCTTTTACCAACAGCAACAAGCTTGCAGGGTGGTCTTGTAAGCAATGGTGACAGCTTTCCAACAGGTATCCACTCTCTTCTCTCCTTATGCCACATCATTAATCGAGTTCCCGAACTTTGATCCAAAACATAGAGGATTCCGTCGACAACAACCGCGGGACCCCTCCATCCCGAAACCATGTCAGCATCTGCATGCTGCCATGTGCCACTTGATGGTTCATATACAACAGCATACACATGAGGTGTCCCAGGAGATTTGGTGCGTCGTATGTATATCTTGCCATCCATGACTACTGAATCTTCAATGTCAGGAAAAATATTAGGATCTCTATGAGATGTCCAGCCATTTGTCCAAGGGTCAAAAGTATCCCAAGAATGAGGATCACTTGAATTTGAACCTATTCCACCAATAGCATATAGTTTTTCATCCAGAACTTCACAAGCAAAGTAACACCTGAAAGTTTTTAGTAAAAGAAAACATTGAAAATTGGCAAACAAAATTTACAGATCATTCTCTGACCATAAATTTATGAGAGCATGGTGCCAAAGTAGTTCTTGATTAAATAGTTAAATTCAAATGAAACTTCAACTGTCTTCTCAGGCTTGACAAAAAAGTGGGGAAAAAACAACAAACAAGGGAAAAATGTGAATTACAACACAAAGATAGTCATTCTTTAGGAATGAAAGGAAGACCTTATTTCTAAACAATGTCAAATAAGTCAGGCATAAATCACTAAGAGTTTGTGAACTATTTAACAGTTCTTCCTTAAGGTTATTTTGCAAAGTCGAATACTTAAGTATGAAAGATCAGGACTAGAATATATACAATGCCACCTACTTCTCATGCAACTGTGGGAGATGTTATCATTATCAGAGACTTTACCTAGCAGTTGACAAGGAAGCAGCTTTAACCCAAGAGTCAATGGCAGCATTGTACGAATAGACCTCATCAGTAGCATCTTCAGACCAGCCACAGCCACCCAATAAGAATAGCTTACATCCCAAAGCTTCAAATCCCATGCCTTTTCTTTTCAATATGCGAGGTGGAAGCCCATGAATTGGTTTCCAACCTTTTCTTGAGGAGGTTGGATCCAAAACATAACAGCAAATCTGATCTAATTTGTCTCTGCACAGAGCATAGATCCAGGTCTCCTCAAGTTTATGCTTTCGGCGATAACAATGCCACTCTTCACTACAAACTAAGTCCCTCCATCCCTTTGAGACACACTTTAGGACTGAATGATATTTTCTAGGAACTCTTGCCAGGCACAAAAGAGAAATATCATCTGGAAGGCCACAAATGAGTGGAAATTTAGTGACTCCTACTTCATTGGCATTATTTGATGATTCTTTTCCATCATCTAAATGCTCCATTGAAATTAGTGCAGAGGACCTGAAAAGAAAGGGAAAACATCAGCAAAGCCCTTATCAAATCATAATTTCATTTGCTCTTCCTACTTATTTGTGTGTACACAGTACAACAAACACCTAGCCAATAGGATTCCAAACAGAAACTTAAAGTTATGACAGATCCAGCCCTTAAAGGATGAATGCTGAGACACAAAAAAGCTCAATCTTTTTATGACCAGGTTGATACATATTTAAAGCTTGAAATTCACATTAAGACAGTGCACAATCATATGATTTGGCCTTTTATATTCAGTTCAATCAGCTCAATACAAACCTCACTAAATTACCTGCAGACTGAAATCATGTCCAAGATGACCAGAGTTAATAATATATTGTTTATATTGAAGAAGGATAAACCATATAGTTTATATTGAAATCATATACTTAGATAACATATTGAAGAACGAAATATCATCCTCCAAATGTGTATAGTTTATATTTTGTTTTCCTTTTTCTTTTAAAACAAGAAAAAGCCAAATGCCTCTCGTTCTCTTTGGACCTATATACACACACACTATTTCTTCATTATCCCCTACAGAATGTGAACATTTGAATCTTAAGCATGATGTGAAAGCAGATCACTTTCTTTACACATCACAATTAACAAGAATATGTCCATTCCAATTTGCAGGCATCAAATTTCGAAAACACAGAACCTGACACACCAAACAAGAGAAAAACAAATTTCTTTTATCAAGTTATACCAAACACAATACTCTTTTAACTTCAAGCATAATATTTTCATCCTATTTAACAGGGACTGGAGAACAATGCCGAACTTACATCTAAATCCCATAAGCAAAATATAAGCAGGGTTCCCAACTGCCAACAAATTCAATCAAAAGAAGGATAAACCATCAAACTACAACCCACATGCTTAATCATTCTCATTAGCACTGTTACAAAAAGAATCACAATTTACACAAAAGACCCCAGTAAATTTCAATTTTCTCAAAGCATGAAGCGTTGTCCCAAAACTAGCTTTGATGGAAACAATCAAGACCTAGCCTTTAACACCTTTCCCCCCAAAAAAAAATTTCTTTAAAAAAAAACAAAAAAAACCCAGATCCAAAGTAATCAACATCAATAATTGCATTGCAATTCCAGATCCAAAAAAACAAAAGGGGCACGAAAACTTTCCTAAAGATTGCAAAAAGTTTCTAACTTGCAAGTAAATTCTGAACAACCTGGGAGACCTAAATCGAACATCAAATGAGTGAAAGGGGGAAAAAAAATTGTCTGGGCGAAAAATGGAAGCGATGAAGAGGAACTTACCTATACGGAACTGGATATTCGTTTGAGAAGTGTAGAACAAGAGAAGGGAACTTACATCCAAGTCAAAGAAATATTTATAGTTTCTTCTCTATCTCAATTTCCTATTTTCCCAAATTCACGTGAACTTATGTCATTCTAAGATAGATATACACAAGAAAAAATTTTATTTAAAATTTAAATTAAAAAAAAATTACCCACTTTCTTTCTCTCATGATTTTTATTTTTTGTGTCTATCTATCTATTAAAATGACATAACTTATGTCATTTAAAATGACAAACACTAAACCCTTGGCGCTGAGTTAGTGGGGTTGGACATGTGTTCGATTCCCGCTGAATGCATTCTTGGGGAGGGGGCTGAACTTTTAGCCATCACTGACCTCTGCACTCCGAATTAGTCTCATAGCCGGCTCAAAGAGTCGAAGCTTGTGAGGATATCGAGGGAGCCAACTCGCCTCAAAGAGGTAATTAGGGTTGGGTAACTTAAAAAAAAAAACGCAAAAGAAAAAAAAATGATAACATAAGAAGGGTTCGATTTTTGTAAGTTGGATGGGCGAAAATCATGGTATTTTTATAATAATTTTAATTTATTTTAAGGTCATTATAGTTTTTATAATTATAATTTTTTAATCTTTCAATTCCAATATGATATTATTTTGAGAATAAATGCAGATAACTTGTCTGCAATAACTGCAGAAATATTTTTCTTAAATTTGGAATGATAATTAAAATAAGGGTTTCGATGTTTGTCACTTTGTAGGATAAAAAATTGAAATAGTGACCAATGTGCCACGTTTTTTGTATTAATATACCAAACTACCATGCGAACAGTAAAATTTACCATACTGCCACGCGTTGAAGTTCACTACCACTTCTTTGTAGCCAACAATTTCTCGACACATGCACAATTTCCGCAGGAAAAGCTAACTGTCATAGGAAACTTGGTAGTATTGTTTTCTTGACACGTGGCACATTTTCGCAGAAAAATTAACTGAGCTACCAGGGGTAACGAACTTCATGTGTTACATGGCACAATCTCGTTGCCCGATCAGAATTAGGGCCCGTTTGGATGAGCTTTTTTTTCTTCAAAAGCTACTTTTTTACAAGAAAAAAGCACTTTTTGTTTTTAGTTCGTTTGGATGTCTGCTTTTAAAAAAAGCAGAAGTCACAAAAAAAGCCAAAAATCTACTTTTTTTCATAAGCTAAAAAATTTAACTTCTAAGAAAAGCAAAAGTCAAAAGCCAAATATTTTTTTCAAAAAGTAAATATTTTTATAAAAATATAAAAAAAAAATTAACTTTTATAAAAAGCACTTCTAAAACAAGGAAGAGATAAAAGTTATTTTTTTGAGAAACCCAAACAAACGGGCTCTTAATATACCAATCACAATCAAAAAAAGAAATAGAAGGAAAATGACTATTTAATTAATGTACTAATCATAATTAATGTACCAGTCACCAATCATAATTGGTGCATGTCAGACATATGGCACACCTAGTTGGCTGCATATTGCAGCGAACTTCTCCAATGTGTCAGCATTTATTGCAACGCAGTTCGCTACTGGGAGTAGCGAACTTGTTGTCCACCAGAAACGTGCCACATCGGCAAACCAAGTTCGCTGGGCATTGTAGCGAACTTGCCTGCCTAACATATTGGGAAATAATATTGTTCGCGTGGTATTTGTGTAAAAAAATCAGTGAACAGTGGCATTTCTGTGACTGTTCTTATAAAATTATGGTTTTATTTGTCTTTCAATTGCAAAAAATTTATCAACACAATCATGGTCCATCATTTTTAAAATAAAAACAGGAAAAGAAAATGAGATGTAAATATGGATGGATCAGCTGTAAAATTAAAATTTATGCAATAGTATAAGACAAATAAAACCCATAAAATTATTTTTTTCACACACAAAAAATATATGAAATTCATATAAAATCACGTAAAAAAATTAAAAAAAATATAAATTACACATATTTTTATATGTAAAGGAGATAATAATTTTATTTCCTATAATATAAAACATTTTAAATCCTGAAAATAAATATTTTCAAGCATACTTTATGGACTGAAAAAATAAAAAGACAACTAGTGTTTTGAAAAAAGTTAGGAGAGGATTAAGGATAAAGAAACAGAACAGAAACGGACAAAAAAGGGGAAATCTATTACGTTGCTACGGTTTGTCTGAGCACGGGTTCGAACCGGGGACCTCTAGTGTGTGAGACTAGCGTGATAACCAACTACACCACCCAGACCGAAGCTTAACGTTGGAAACCTTAAGCATAACAACTTATTAAATCTAAAAATAAGGGTATAGGGATGGTAAAGACCCCTACGCAATGTAACGGATTAATTTCAATGAATAACGGTATTGCATATACTTTTCTTTTTTTTTGGTAAGCTATTGACTTTTCAAATCAGGAATAACTAATAAAATTAGTTTTTAATTTATTTATTTTTTTGGGTGAATTAATCATTAAGTATGAATACCTAATTTTCTTAGTGAAGACATGTTTAAGAGAAGACATTTCCAAGATAATGACTCTAGTAAGAGTTAAAACACACGTCATTTATTACTTTGTATGACAACCTTGATTAATAAAATTAAAGTGTCAGTATGAAAAAAAAAATAACGTAAAATCTATTATAATCAGATAAAAAACTATATAAATATAATATAGTAGTGTGTTACATTATCTGATTACAATTGACCAACCATTAACAGCCATAAGCGTGGTAGGTCAATAGATATTGAGGCCTAAAGTTTAATATGAAAATTACTACTTTTTATTGAAATTTATTAAAAATAGTATACTTTATTGTTTTGGCATTTTGAGATGCAAATTATGTTGTACAGTGACTCTAACTTTTTACGACTGAATAGAAGTAATAGTCATTGTATTTGTGAGAAGTGAGAAAATAAATGTAAAATTCCCACATATTTAATATAAATTTTAAAAATACAAATATTAGTTTAAAATCAATAAAAATGTGAGAAGTGAGAAAAAAAAAACTTAAATAAGAAAATGAAAGAATACACTAAATACTATTAGGTATATAGTATTTAATGTAGTCACCTGTACTAGATTGTGAGTAATAAGGCTTTTTGACTCTAGTGTTATTTTTATAAGGTTTGATTAGAATTATTTCTTGGTTAAATTTATTACCTATATAATGCATAACGACGCGGTACTATAAAGAGCCACGTACATGGTACCAAAGTCTTTCGTCCAATTTTCGATGCAAATGGTTTAAAATCGTGTCAGACCATAATTTTACAAAACTATTATATAAGGTACCACATACGCGGTTGTTATTGTACCGCGTCCTGTGCAATCATTTTTGCAAAGGACGCGGCTGAGAGGATGTCGTGTTTCAGTGTAATTATTATCTACGTGATTGGTCAGTGACAAATGCAAAGGACGCGGCTCTTTAAGTGTCACGTCTTAAAGCGATCTTCATAGTACCGCGTCGTTATGCATTATATAAATTATAAGTTTGACCAAGAAATTATTTCGGTCAAACCTTATAAAAATAACCTTACTGGGGTCAAAAGGTTGAGTAATATAGTATAAATAGGCTAAGTTAGACTGAGTTTTGACTCAAGACTTAAATAAATTAGGCATGTGTAAAATACTTTAGGTCTGGTAGTCTTGTATAGGTCCAAATTATAAATTTGATTTAACCTATATTTAAAAAATAAAAGTATTTGCCTAAGTCTGTTAGTCTGTTTAAGCATATTAAGTATTTAATAATTAAAATAATATTATTTTATTATTCAAAATTGTTAAAATAATAATTTATTTATTTTATTTAAAATAAATAATATAATATAAGTTAGTATATAGATTTATAAATTTATAGGTCCAGCATATAAAAGAAAGTTTATGATTTATTTTTTAAATAGATTTTTTTTTTTAAAATTTAAATCAATCCAATTTGATTATATGTAATAAGTTGAGTTTAGTATGGTATTGGGCGAACCATATATATCCCTGTTAAGCTGGTAAGCCGATATACACCTCTAGTGAGTACTATTTACCACCCGCAAGCAGATGGCTAAACTTACGTGGTGAATTGAAATCTAGAACAAATAATATCTGTTCAAAATTTACGTGTAAGTGATAGCTGAGAAATATCCCTACTTTCTTTTTCTTTAAATTTGGGACCGATAGCTGAGAAAAAAAGAAATGAGACCATAAATTTGTTAATATCAAAACCTAACAAAATAAAAAAATTCACTTTTGTTTTCAACAAATCTATTAATCTTTGCTGTATATTCTTGACAAAAAAATAAAAATAATATAATATACCTTCACGTTTAGAACCCAATGACTACAGTTTCGGTGTTGATCAACTAATCATTTAAGTCTAAACTTTTCATGAGAAACAAATCAATAAATTAAACTTGTCAATTAAGGGTTCAATCTTTTTGAATAATCTTTATGCTTGTACTTTTGCATATTTTTAATATAAATTTTAAAAGTACAAATATGAGTTTAAAATCAATAAAAATGAGAGAAGTGAGAGAAAAAATAGAAATACTTAATTAAGAAACTGAAAGAATCCATTAAATACTATATTAATTATGTTGGTATTTATAATTTTAATATAAATCATATTAAATAGGTAATAAATTATATTAATATTTACAATTAAACTATTAATAAATATCTTCAACAAGAATCATATTCATTTTCTTAGACCTTTTTCAATTTTATCAGTTGAATCAACATACCTTTAAAATTATATATTTTTACTATTAAAAATTTAATTAATTAAACAGTAAATTCTAACACAAGAAAAGTCTAGAACTATGTCTGACAACCGGAAAACTAGGTCAATGATACATTCAACTTAATTAAACACAAAATTGTTAATGGAACAAAAAAAAAAGGAAATTGGAGAAAAAGATATAAATAACTGTTAGTAAATTGGAACAAAGTTGACAGTTCTTTCCTACTGTTATTGTCCACTTCACAGACGAATCCCTAGTTCCCATCAGGTGAGTTTCTCTTCATTGCTTCCAAGTCTTTGTCCCAGAAAAAAAAAAATTTGCTTTTTCCCTTTTATTAATTTGATCTTCAATTTAGATCTACTTGAAAAAATAAAAATAAAAAAATTTGCTGTTGGGACAATGCTAATTTTGTGAAATTGTTCCATTTTAAAACATCTAAAAACATTATTGTCTGGATTCCTTTAATCATATGTTTCTGTTCTGTTAGATTTTCCTCACAGCAATATGCAAGCTACACAAGGCGTTTCACTCCCACATTACATTCTTCCTGTGCCCAAATTCTCAACCAGTGCTACCCTTCCAAATTTTGCATCTTTTCCATCAATCCTGAGCACCTCCAAATTGAGTTTGACTTGGGGGTTTTACAAACCACTTATTTGGTTGCACACAGCACCTAGCTGGAGGAGGAGTAGCTGTGGTGGTTCTCTTATGGTCCAGTGTGGCTCTACTTCTAATGGAGAAAATGATGATGGGTTTTACATCAGAAGATGTGTTGAGATTGCAAAAAAGGCTGTTGGGTTTACCAGCCCCAATCCATTGGTTGGATGTGTAATTGTTAAAGATGGGAAAGTTGTTGGTGAAGGCTTCCACCCTAAACCAGGGCAACCTCATGCTGAGGTACCTTTTCACTTTTTTATTTCTCTAAACTATTCTATTTTTTTCCCTTCTTATAATATTATTATGGGAAAAAAAAAACTGAGATTTGTATGTTATATACTGTGTGTTCTTTTGTTGTCCTCCCTTATAGATGTCATTGCGTTAGTATTTCAAACTCTTATGATAAGCTTAATTTGAATTTAAATGATGATTTCCGTGAGAAAATGAAGAGACTAGTTGGTATACTGGACAACATGTTTTGATTGTAAGTTGTTACTCTTTCTTAGAATTTAGATGGAGAATCTTTATTTGTTGCTGAATATGATGATGAGTTAGGAGATGAGATTATCAGGTGTTTGCTCTGAGGGATGCGGGTGATTTGGCGGAGAATGCAACAGCTTTTGTGAGCTTGGAACCTTGCAATCATTTTGGGAGGACTCCCCCTTGTACTGAAGCTCTAGTTAAAGCCAAAGTGAAAAAGGTTGTTGTTGGGATGGTGGATCCAAATCCCATTGTGGCCTTCAAAGGGGTGGATAGATTGAGAGATGCAGGAATTGAAGTTGTTGTGGGTGTAGAGGAAGAATTGTGCAAGAGCCTCAATGAGGCGTATATTCATCGCATGTTGACTGGAAAGCCCTTCCTCACTTTGAGGTAATTCATTTCCACTTCTGTTCTTTTGATACTCCCACTTGCTTTTCATTAGAAATTCATGTATGGCTATTCTTCGGTTGCATACTGGAGTTTGGTTTTAGATTTATTGATCAGGCTGCGCATTTAATTCTTAGAAAAACCTCCATTTCTTAGCTTAGCCTATCCCTGTATTGCAGATATTCTCTTTCTGTCAATGGGAACTTATTGAACTTGCTTGGGAGTGGAGTTACAAACTGTGGTGGATACTATTCACAGCTATTAAAAGAATATGATGCAGTGGTACTTTCTTCTTCCTTATTTAATGGAAATTTATCAGCACCTGCATCTCAAGAACCTGGTGCCAATCAACCGACAAGGATTATAATACATAAAGATCCTAGTTCTTCAAATGAAATTCCGCTAGTCATGAATGATGATACTGGTAAAGTAATAATCTTTGCAGATTATAGAACAGCAACAGCTCCAGAAGTGGCCCAACGAGGAATTGAAACTGTAGCTCTGGATCAGATAAATCTAGATGTGATCTTGGATTATTGTAATCGTCAAGGATTGTGCAGTGTTCTTTTAGATATGAGGGGGAATTTCCGTGAGTTTGAAGAGCTCGTTAAGGAGGGTATTAAGAAGAAATATATTAATAAGTTTGTGACAGAAGTTTTGCCAGTTTGGAATGGGTGTGCTGAGACAGATCCTCTACTGACATTAAAGAACTTAGAGCAAGGAGTAAAAGTGGTAAATTTACAGTCCAAGGCCTCAGATCAAAGTGTTGTAATTGAGGGATATTTTGAATTTTAAGTAACTGGATTCATGGTACCCATGAACTTCCATCTATCATTCTTTCTGTGCCATGTTTTTTGCCTAGGCATTATTTGCTGTAGGCTAAAATGAGAGAGCAATTATAGTATTTTGCTGGGCAAAAGTTGGAGGGGTATGGGTATCAGTGATGATCTTTATTTCCTTTTTTTTGGGACTCTAATGTTACCTTAAAGTTGGACAACATGTTTCCATGTGGAATGTAAACTGTGGATGTTAGCAGTTTGATTTGGACTGTATTCTGGATTGTTTGTGGGACATTCACAAATAAATAGAGAAAGCAGAGTACTTGATTTGAACTTCCTTTTGCATCGTTTCTCTGTATTATGTAAAACAGACCATTCTGTAATTCAATAAACTTTGATGAATTGTTATAGTGGAGAGGTACAGGAATGGTCATAATTCATTCTTCTAGGTTTTCTTATTTGTTTCATTATAATTGAATTGTTGTATCGATGGACAGTAGTGCGACTCTTTCACAACGGATTTTAGTTTATGCTCTATTTTGTTTTAATGGAGATTGTTATGTTTCTTTATATGGCCATGCACCTCTATCTATCAATAAATATGTGATTCTTGGATGAGTGAATGGCTAAATGTTTTGAGTTGCTTTGCTCAACAAACAATTATAGGAAGTCAGCAAGCAGCAAAAACGAATAACTCACGTCAAAGTTTACAAATCAAATAAAATCCAACATTTGGGAAAATAGGATCCTCATGCATAAAAAGTTATTCATGAGTGAACAATTTCTTCATGGCTTACAGAAACCAAATGCCTATTAGAACCCGTGGTTCGGACTAAAGCTACATACATAATCTATAAAAATAAAGGCCTAAATTGATTACTCATATGTACATGATTGTGAATTTGATATATATACAGACCAACTTCATAAGCAATTTCCTAGAAATTGCGGAGCTGCTGCCAGTGTACCACAATTATATTACATAATATAATTCCTGACAATAATCAACTTGGCTACATACAGAGCCACCTCATGAGCAGAAGTTGAAGAAGACATTCATAGTAAAGTTCTCCTTTCAACTAGGAGTTAGGCCAGCCATTTGGTGAATGCTCTTTAGACTTAGAATGGTAGTTTCGCTTTGCAACAAGTTGAGCGCGAATTAAACTTTCAGTTGCTATTGCTTCTTGGATGTCTTTCAGGGCTTTTTGGCAGATTTCGTCAAGTGCAAGCATTGGAAATGGCTCCTCTATCAGAACTCCAACCTACAACAATCATTTTTCATATTTTTTAATTAGCTTTCTTCTAACCAGAAAATCTGGAGTTGTATTTCAAGAATCCATCCATCAATCACTCCTGAATGTATCCAGTTTAGATTTGGGGTAATCCTATATCTTTTCTAACAGTGCAAAATTGATTCTGCAGTCCGTGTTGTTTGGAATGTCTGCAACTTCAATTATGGGCGTTAGAAATAAATTTCTAACTTATTTCTAACGGTGCAAAATCAAAAGCTAATCTCTGGCTTTTGTGCAAAAAATCAGTTGTACCATAGTGCAGCTCATTGGTTTTCCAAAAAGATATCAAATATTTTATGCTCATGCACAAACACCCATTATTTTTTCCACAATTTTTACAATATCATCTCTCCAAAATCTAACTGCTGGAATGAAAGCACTGTCACAATTATTCTCACCTATCTTTCGACATAGGTCTGTCAACCTAAATTTGTTTATCTATTGGATTAAACGGAGGAAAGGAAAAACCCATAAATGTGTAATAGCCTAAAGATCCTGATCGTTTTAACTACATGTACAACAAATTACAGAACAACATAATTTGATATATTAATTAGTCAAGGACCCAAGGTAAGAGGAGAAACATACTTCTTCAATGCAGAACAAAGAGGCAGCACTAATAAAGGTAGCAGGGACCACAACCCAATGACAATCATCCCAAAGTATGACAGGAAGCGTCAGGTGCCATAGGACAAGAAACCTTGAGGTCAAGCGAGTATATGATAGTGGAATGGGAATACCCATAAGTTGTTCACATATGCCAATTCCTTCATGGAAACAAGAGATCTTTGATTCCTGTACCGCAATGAGGAAACATGGAATTAATACAGAGTGAAGTGTTAGATTAACAGATCCATGTCTACAACTTGGCCACCTAATTACCAAGGAGTCACATAAATTTGCATATTTGACAATTGAAGTATTATTTTCACAAAAAATGTTACCTAAATTCGATATGTACTAAATGCTAAGAATTCCAATTAGTGCTTACCAAGACATTTCTTCTAGATTCTTCCAATTTTAGCAGTCGAATGCTCTGTGATATAAACTCAATAATGCAGCGAGGTCGATGTTCCGCATTAATGATCAACGCTAGATCATCTATTTCTAACACATGTTGAAGATCTCTCCTAACATCTGAACCATACAAGACATGACACTGCAATTAAATAGTTCAAACAGTGAGTTTCATTATCAACTACAACTTCAACCATAGTTGTCAATAGCAGTTAGCGGCCAGTAGCGGCCGACCCCGAAAATGGTATAGCGGTGTAGCGTGTAGCGGTATTACCGCTACGGTGAAGTATTAATTCCACATATATTATACTAACAGTCAAGAAACAAGGCAATACTGCTTTTAGTATTAATGCTCAAACATAAGAAGTCACACAAAATCAAACACATAATTCCACAATCAATGTCAAATACAAGGAACATAAAGGAAGGATCCAAAATTAAACACAACTGAACAATAAAATTGTCAAATAGCCAAGTGCAAGAAGTGAACTAATAAAGAAAATCATCATCATTTTCGGATTCTCCATCAAATTCCAACATGGGAGTGGTGTAGCGGGTAGAGGTATTGTTGCAACGTTACGCCGCTACCTTCCGCTACGGCCAATGTCGCGTAGCGTCGCGGTTTGTAGCGGCCGACCGCCGCTACCCGCTACGGTAGCGGTTTAGCGGCGCTACGGGCCGCTACTGACAACCTAGACTTCAACTACAACAACACTACTTCGATCCCAAATTGGTTGGGCTAAGCAAAAGGCTCCTCAACTTGCGAGGGTAGGGATGAGGATCGATTGTACGCAATATCACCGTTATATTTTTGCAAAGAGGTTGTTTCCGGACTAAACCCATGACCTTCCTATCAAAGAGCAACCTTACCGCTGCTCCAAGCTCATCCTCCTTTCACTATCAACTACAACTACCAACCAAAAAATCCAACCCTGCTTAACTTGAACAAAAACCTTACAAACTCCCCTTTATATTATCATTGGAAAAAAAAAATGAGGGAAAACCAACAACCATAGAATTCCTCTAACGTTAAGCAACTAACAATCCAACTCTACACAACTTGAACAAAACCTTACAAACACCCTTCACATTATCATTGGAAAAAAACCAAAATTGATGGAAACCCAAAAATCATAGAACTATTCTGACCATAAGCAACTAGCAATCCAATCCTAAACAACTTGAACAAAACCTTTCAAACACCCTTCACATTATCATTCAAAAAAACCAAATTTTGATTGAAACCCAACAACCATAGAGCTACTCCAACCTCAAGCAACTAAAAAATCCAACCCCAAACAACTTGAACAAAACCTCACAAATACCCTTCACACTATGATTGATAAAAAACCAAAATTGATGGAGACCCAACAAAAAAAAAAGAACCATTCTGACCTTAAGCACAAGAGGGAAGGCCATGATATACTGCAAAAGAAGCTTTTTGATAGGGAAATCAGAGGGAGTATCAACCGCAGCCATGACCTGTCTAACAAAATCGTGTGCGCCGGCGATGACCTTCGTCCACGCCTTCTTCCCCTCCACGAATCTCGAATAAGATGCCTCTGTTCGGAAAACGAGGAGGAGCGCGAGGGCGGGGGCGGTGAGCTGGTAGGGAAGCGAGGAAGCCCTGAGGATTGGGAAGAATTCGGGGAGGAAATGGAGGAGCACGGCGGAGTTGTAGGCGGCGATGGCGGCGGCGAAAGCGGTGAAGGCTATGACAGGTGGTATGAGGGAGAGGATGACGCGGGAGGAGAGGCTTGAGAGGAAGTGGCGGAGGTGGCGGCGGGAGCTGCGGTGGTTGAGCCAATTGGGGTGAGTGTAGAGTGTGCGGTTCTTCTGCATGCCACGTTCTTTGATGGCATCGGCCCAATCGGGGATGGAACGGAAGATTGAGATTAGGGTTTGGGTTGGGGTTGGATTGGGAGTTGAGTTTGTGGGTTTGAATTTGAAGTTTGTTTTGTGGGGTTTGAAGGAGTGAAGATTGTTGTTGTAGTTGTTGAGATGGTGACATTTTGGTGTGAATTGAGAAGACAAGGTTGTGGATGTTTTGGGTTTAATTTGGATTCTGGGATGGTGGTACATTGAATTGGAGTGAAGAAGATGATGATGATGATGCTGAAGAAGAAGAAAAAGAAAGCATGTGCATGCTTAAAGTTTGAGAGTGGGAAATGGTTGTCAATGTGTGTGTGTTATTAGTGAGTGAGAAAGTACTTGGTTGGTGTAACTGTTAATGTTTGGTGAAGCATGTTTTTACACGTTTCAGATATGGGTCAAATAACAATAATAATAATAACAATTAAAGTATCAGAAAAAAAAAACGCATATACCTCACTTTCTTAACGCATTTTGATGGAAAGATTCTCTAAATTGGTAATGGACCCTTTGAGTTTGAAGTTTAAATTACTGGAGACTCATTTAATCAACTCTTAACAACACTTGGTTTAAGTGATAAGGATTTTGTTTTGTTTCTTTAACCAGAAATCATTTCTCCCTTTTTGTTTTTACTAATTTTGTTATTATAATTGTAAACGTTAATTTATTAATGAATAATTGAAATTTTTACATGATTATGTTAAAATGAAAAAGGAAAATGCATCACTGCAGCATGCCATTCTCAAAACCAGCAATTGGTTTTATTTATAAAGCCCAGTCTTTTTATATGCCATCCTCGCTTGTATTGTGTTTGGTTGGTTACTCTTTTCTGGCAGGGAAATCAAAATGAATATAACTTCAGGACTTTTCATAACTCTTGTGATTTCATTGCTTCTTGTTCGTCCACTTCATTTTGATGAACATATGACCAAGTACCAACAACTGAGTGGCTTGAACCCCTCCAAAAGTTTCAATCAAGTTTTGGCTACTGCACGTTGGGTGCTGCCGCTCTTGTGTTTTTGTTATCCTATCCAAGTTCTCAATAATTATGACCGGAGTAAGCCAAAAACAGATTATACTTGTTAAGAAAAAAAAAAAAGACAAAATTGTTTACAATAAAGATAATTTATGACCTAATAAAGTAAATATTCAATCTTAATTGTTTGATAAATAATTTACAAAATATTAGTAATTTGAAAAAAGAAAAAGAAAAAGTAATGTTATTTTTTTTTTAAGATAATGTAACAATCAATTAGAGTTACTATTAATGTTATTATCAATCAATTTTACCGTTAGATCGATTATTGTAACAATCAATATGATTATGGGAAATCATAACCATACAAAGGTGAAAATAAATATTAAATATTAAATACATGAAATCATAATTCATGAATCAACATAATCGATCTATGATGAAATTTATTGATACTAATATTGACACTAACTCTAATTAATTGTTAGAATATCTTATCCCAATTTTTTTTATTAAAAAAAAAAAGTCACGTAATAAGAGAAACCAAATTAGACTATCTCCAAAACCTCAACCTCGTACGCCCCTCAAACACAGCATCGCAATAAGATCATATTTCATAGTTAGTGTAGAATCATCAATCATGAGTTTAATGAATCCAAAAACAGACAAGCTGGTGAGAAGGATAACCGTTGTTGCAACTGTTACTGCTTCCTATTTTCTCTTAACCGCTGACTATGGCCCTCAACCCAATGCTCTCGACCCTGTAAGTCTCCTTTTTCTCTCTTCCCTTCACTCAAAGGTACAATTTTTTAACCTTCCCAGATCTGGGTTTTGCTTCCATTACTCTTTTTCCATGATTTCTCTCCTACCCAACTGAGATTTAACAATCTGGATGGTCTGATTTTTTTAATTTCTAAGTGGGCTTTCTGTTTCTGATTATACCATTTTCTATTTCTTATTATTATTATGGCTGCAATTAAGAATTATCGTCCTTCCTGAATATTAGTTTGAAATTCTGGTTAATTTGACTCACCAAATGTGCTATTGGTTTTCATTCCGTTTGAAAATTTTGATTAAGGAGAATTCTGAGGTGTTAATAGCTGTTGGATGCTTGTTAAATGGACCTTAATTCAGATTCTAATGGTGTTGGAGGTAACATAATAAAAGGTATGTCAATCACAATGTATCATCTTGGTTATTGGCCTTACTGACTCAGATATATGCCTTTGGCTGAGGGTGGTTCCCCCTTCAAAACTATCCACTTGATCAATAATTTCATCTTTGCAAGCACATACCGTTTAGCAGTGACCAGGTTTTTATTGAATGATTCAGATTGAAAGAGAATTGAGGCAATTACGTTTTTATTTTATTTTTTGTTACAAAGAAGGTCTAAAACCTGGTGTTGGGATGGGGAGGGTAGGCTAAAATGAAGGCAAAGTAGCCCGGATTGAATTTGACCCTGGGAATGGGGAACAAACAGTCCTCAAAAAGACTGGGTGCCACTTAAGTTATAACTCTTGGGCAATCACTGAACCTTAATATCATGGAATAGTAAAATGAAAATGCAAACCTAATTCCAGGCATTATGTTGTCTTCTAGAAGTTGCATTGGGAAATAAGAATATTTCATAGGACTTGGTCCCCAAGCTCGTTAACATTAATGTAAGACCTGAAGAAAAGAAAAGAAAATCACTCCCCATTAAACCCGACTAGCGAGTGTGGGGTGGAGGCAATCCTTGTAGGCAGTCTTACCCTTGCACAATTGCAAAGAGGTTATTTCCTGGATTCAAACTCATGTCCTTTCAGTCATTAAAGAATAGCTTTTACCACTGCTCCAGTTCGCTCCCTTAACGTAACACCTGAAGATAAAAAAAAAAAAAAAAAATTGAAAACTTTTGAAAAGCTTAAGATCTTTTAGAAAAACACTGACTTCAGGAGCTGATAGGATTAGGATGCCATCTTAAAAATGGAAATAGTGTTTGCTTTGATGGACAGCAGCTAAAGGTATTTATTGCTATATTCATGTCATCTGTCTCAGAGCAATTAGACAGTTATATATATGACAATGGTCAGAGAACAATCTCCTCATGATGTGCATGTCTCCTAGAATTATTTGTATTTTCTGTTTATTTTTCTTTGGACCATTCAGGTCGTGAGGGGTTCGTGCCTTTAGCACTAACTCTATTTTCTCATTTAAATGTTGATGGAACAAAAGATTTATAAGGTTTTTTCGATTGTGACATGACTGCATTTACATTAGTTTGTTCTTTTAAATTTGAAAATAGATATAGAGAACTGAAACAAAGCAGGCTTCCTGGACTTGCATTCCTGTCTGTTAAACTGGTCACTTGTCAGCTAGGAGCTTCCTTATTGGATTAGAACCTGTGGCCATGCAATGACAGACACATATGTGCCCTTTACAACTAGAAAGGTTCTACAAGATTCTCTTCACTAGCAGGGATAGTATTCTGGATAATAATTCCCACAATTAAGCCACCTTCTGAATTAACATTGAATAAACTGTAACCTTGTTGGACAGCTGAGAGGTTTGCAATCACTTTCTAGAGTGTCTGAATGGTTGGCCTGATGGATCCAAACAAAGAGCAATTTAGCTAACTGCCACAAGTAATTTTGTAGAAGTCCTTTTGTTGAGGCTTCTATTCAAACATAATTTCAACCATCCGAGATGGATGATCTAATCTTTATGTAGCCGGATAGTGTTGCATGGTTCATCAGAATATTGACCCCTTGAGAGTTGTTACAACTTTTCTGGTTGTTTCATAAGCATTTTGAATTTTGAATACCGTTTTCAAAAAATTATTTGGGAAAGATTTGGGGGAGGACTTAGGAATGGTTTCTCACTTCTGAACATGACAAGTAGAATGCAAAAACTGAGTCAAATTATGAGTACTGCAAATGAAGGGTCTTTTGCTGTCTTCTTACTGTTAACTTAACCATTTGAGAATTCATTTATAGTCGGCATTAGTTCTTTTATACTTTTGGTTCTGATGAATTTATTTATTTTTTTAAAATGGAAGATGAATTAATTGAATTCTATGGTATTTTTTTTCTTGCTTCTGATGGTATAACTTTTAATGGTAGATTAAGAAGCGGCTACTTTCAGCAGAGAGCACTGTGAAAGACTATATTTTTGGATCAAAGAAAGAATCTCAAGAAAATCACATAGGGAAATTGGACAGCAACAAGGAACATCCATAAATTTATGGTCTTCTTGTAGAGGAACATCATGCTGAGTCAAGGTTTTCTTTTAGCCGTTTGAACTTGTGAATGTCTGTAGTCCAATGGAATGGTTGAATGACTAGTGATAGAGAATGTATAAACGGTATTAACTATCTTGATTGAGTTTTCATCACTACCAATGCCATCAATAAGATAATAACATCGTAATCATGTTTTCAGTTGCTTCCCAATTCCCCCACCTAGCTTTTTCTCTTAAATTATGTATCCGCATCTGTGTTTTCTCTAATTCCTTTTAGTTTTCCTTTAATCTGATTTTAGTTATACAGTTGTTATTGACAAGGGTATTTTGAACATCAAATAAGCAGTTGCATCACTCAAATCAAAGCTTCTAAAAGCTGTTAATATTTGTTGGCTTTTGTCTAATGGATGATTCATGGATTGAGTGTGCAACTTCAGTGTATAGCCAAAATTTAAGCAGGGCGGGAATAAGTCTATAGTGAGTGTGGCATAGGTCACGGGGGTTATACAAAATAACCAAATGAATTCAACTATGAACTGATTCGAACAGCACCAAAAGAATTTATATATTTTTTAATCGGTTCAAAAATCAAATCATTTTATTCAAATTGAACAATATTCATTCTTGGGAGTGTGAAAAAACCAAATTAATTGAATTGAACCATGAACGAAAGTAAATCACACCATATTTTTTCTTAACCAATTTAAGAACCAAATCGTTTTCTTCAAACCGGTTGAAGAGCCGAATTATTTTTTAAAACCAGTTTAATTTCCTCGAACTAAACCACTTTTTTAATTCGATTAAATTTGATATAAAAAACCGAATCATGCACACTACTACGTTTTGGTAATTAAAAATGCAAGATGGACATGCCATCCTAAAATCATAACATGCTATAAATTCCGCAAGAATTTATAGATAACCTACCAATAAAAAATAAACAGCAAAAACCAAACTATGTTTGAGGAATAAACATACAATTCTACCATCTTTGACTCGTAAAAGGATATCAAGGTGCTATAAAACATCATTCTGCGCAGATACGGAAGTGTCTAGCTTTACAAGAGGAGAGTACATGAAACGAACATGTTATCGGGATCATGACAACACTATATGTTATCACAAAGCTGATACACCTTTGCCTAAAGTAGAACTTCTTTAACTCTATGTAAATTAACTTGAATCATTCTTGGTCTTGGATGTGCTACCTATGCTTCTTTGAGAGGTGTCACTTTTGGAAAGTGTCATCCAGTGTTTATAGTTAAATAATGAGGACTGATTTGGACAAGTTCTATCATATGACCCTGCACTTGTTAATTGATCTAGAGACGCATGCTCAAAAATAATGGGAGTAGATCTTCCTATGTCTTATTTAACATAATATGCTCGTATAGAAACATCATAACCATACAAAAATAAATCAATGATAATAAAAGAAGACAAAAAAATAATATTAAAATAAATAATTACAAAATCATCATCATTGATTTACTTTTGTATGGTTATAATTTTTCCATATAACCATGTCATGTTAAATAAAACATGAGAGGATCCATTTCCAAAACTCATACTTCAAAACATTAGGGTAACAAGATGCATGACAGTAGGACATGGACGCAACATCCAGTGTCCTAAACCTAATGATTTGCACCCGAGAAAAAGTAAATCTTGCTTGCCATTCCGACACAAAGTACAGGGCTTTGAACAACAAAGCTTTTCACTCTTAACATTTTTTAACCACTATGAAAAAAAAAATTGCTAAAGTTTGGATTCATATCAATCAAATCATGGAACAAAATGAACATCCTAGCCGACCCAATAAAAAGGGGGAGGGGGTGTTACCAACACTCATCCAATCATTGTTTCTTAAAGAACTATTCAAACACATGCAACTTTTTCTATGATATGGAAGATGAAATTTATAATCAAATTTGTGGGGTAAGTAGTCATCAAGCAGAACACAATCAGCAAGAAATTTTCTCTGTACAAAGTCTTCACTTTTGTTTAGGAGTTGCATTCCTCTTGGCTTCAAGTGTTGTGCCCTCTTTAATTGCTACTTGGGCTTCATTCTCCATCCCAAGTCCTGCAAGGGCAACAGATTGAAGATAAGATGCAATGTGCCATACAGGGGATACGACTTGTGCTTGCATTGCATCGTTCAGTGCTTCCTGAGGCATGTCATTGATCAGATAACACAAACTGCGTCGTGCATAGACTGTTGGAGAAACCATTGTTCCACCATCAATGAACTGCATATAAGACAATGAACTCTCATTAACTAAGTTAACATTAGAAACCAAATCAAACCTCAGATAGAACAGCTAAATAGGATGGATCCAGAGGAGGTGCTACCAAAATGATTCATCCATACACTTGAATCAGACTCAAATCAAAGGGTGAAATACTCTATTCTAGACTATTACTTTATTAACAAATATATATATATATAGTCTAGAGATCTATTTCGTGATGTGCATCTTACGCATCAGCATTTTAGAATACAAAAAATGGCAAGCCAAATTTAGATTAATCCAACTTATCAACATAAGAAATCTACCTGCGTGTAGCAGTCAATTGCTAATCTGAAATCTTTCTGGCGGAAAGCAACATCCCCTTTTTTCTTACAATTTAATGTTTCCTGCATTTGATCAGTCCACATCTGGAATGATAACTGCAATACCAGAAAAGAGAAAAGAGAATACACAAGTTAGTATCTTTTCAATATATATATATATATATATATATATATATATGTATATATATATTAGTTTATTGTTTCTCATGTTGGTAGGAGATAAATTTATATTAGTTATTGGATCTAATCCTCCACGAAAAGTAAGAAATTGCACGTATTTGGACCAATTCAAGGTGAAAAAGGAGTTGCTCCCTCGGCAAAACTCGGATAAAGTTGAGCCAAAAGATCCCGATTCAAGATAAATTCACGAGGAAGTGGGATCTCTTTAGGATCTACTCCAGCGTTTAGAAATTGGTTAATCGGTAAAGATACGTGTACTTGATGCCCACCAACATGAGAAACAATAAACTAATATATATATATATATATATATATATATATATATGATTATTTCATAATTTATGGAAAAAGATAACCCAAAGAAGATATATAATAAATAAATAAATAATCTAGATTTTGTGGAGAAAACCAAACGGTATGCAGCAATTCATTAGAATATAATTTAGATAGAGAACCTCATTTGCCACTCCTTCATCATCTTTGTAGCCAGTATTTTCCAGAACTTCATGTATGGCAGTTAAGTCCTTTCTAAAGCATGCTTCGCCAAGTGGAGACAAGGAAGCAAAAGTAGCACTATGTGGGATACCCATCAAGACATGTGAAGGAACCTAGAAAGAAATGAGGATCAATAAATCTTGGCAAGACAAAAAAATCAGGAGTTGAACTTTCAAAATTGATTAACTACACTTTGTTGTCATCATGCATGTCATGCTTGCGCAAAGACATGAAAATGTGAATATAGGAAGTATGCAAATACACCTAATAGAAGACGTCAATCACACTTTGCCTTTGCCTTAACTCTAAAACCGAGCCTAAGCAGTCAAGATCTCAAAATAGGATTTTGATTGTTACTACTTGTAAGTGATGCGTTACTATTACTGTTAACATAATAATAATAAACAAACCTCTGTTTCCTTCTGAAGAGGAGCCAAAGCAACAACCAGTGATTTTGGATTAGGCCGCTCTCTAGGTTCATACTGTAAACATCGAGATGCCAAGCGTACCAACTCAGTTCCATCATCATCAGAAAATTGACCTTCCAAACAAGAATCTGTAAGCATCTGAAGATTTCTATCCCGGATCAAATCGAGGGCCTGCACCAAGTTTTGTAGTAATTAGATATGCAAGTTTACATATAATATAATAAAATATAAATATAACCAGTTAACTATTAATTCTACGATGTGGACGGAGGATTTTGGAGTAGAAATGAGGAGAGGAGAAGGTTATAAGTAAACCTCACTCTTATTTGGAAGTTTTCAAATAAGGGAAGGAAAATTGGGGATAATTATCTAAGCCCCAACAGCCACCCTCATTAATTTTATGAACATTATAAGTTTACCCCATTTGGATGACTTTCAAGGATGTTAGCATCCAACATCAACAACACCTTTATCCCAAATTAATTGGGGTTGGAAGGATGTTAGCATCCAAACAAGAAAAAAACTTGTTAACCTCTCTTGCTCCTCCCTTACCCTTTATTTACTTTTAATTCCTTCACTACCTTCCCTCTACCTAACTGCTTAAACTTTAGAATAGGTTAGTCATTGACACATTTGTTTCTTGATGAAAAAAAAAAACAAAAGGTTGTTTCATGGAGAGGTTCAAAATTTGTAATCTACCCACCAAACAAAGTATAGATTGGTTTGGAACATTTGGGACCCAAACCAACCTGATTGGTCAGGTTCACCAGTTCACCTGCGCCCATATTTTTTACACTTTTGAGAAGAATGACTTACGTGACTTGGCGGGATATGCTTCCCACTGAGAAGGTCAAGCAAAAGAGTACCAAAGCTATATATTACGCTTTCTGGGGTTACTCTCCCTACAGAACAAAGAAGAGATATAATATCCTTTAGACTCAACTATTGTAAAATATAAATGATTGTAAATTTTAAAATGCAATACAGAATTTCCATTGTGTATTACACAGTGCAAAACATGCGCAAGAAGGACAAAATTAACAACTGCAGCCATTATATGGCATACCAGTTCTGAGATACTCTGGAGGGGTAAATGCCAAATTTGTGCTATAGCTTTTCCCATCTCTGCTATTTTTCATCAGGCCAAAAGTTGAAAGCCTAGGATTACCATCCTGCAATATTCTAACACATTTTATATTAATCTAATTACTTAGACATGTATAAAAACGCAATACACAAAAACTTACCGCATCAAATAGAACTCTATATGCATTAAGGTCATGATAGAGGGCACGCCCTTTGCTTGTGCAGTACTCTAGAGCTTGTGCAAGATGTAGAACAACTCTTAGTCGCATTGCCCATTTCATGGGTTGCATTTCCCCTGATTTTGAAACATGACAATATTATTTCACACCACATAAACTCAAGGGTCGGGCATGTAAAGCCTTACTTTAACAACACAATCATGACAATAAAGCAAAGGCCGAGTGTAAACATAGTGAAATCTAATATACATGAATATAAACTACTTTAAAGATTCATTTATAATGTTTTGTTCAGATTTTGAAGGTCTTGGAATCTAGGTTTGGATAACAACCTGAAGACGGATTCTGCTGCCCAAAATCAGTAATAAAAAAGATCTTGCTTCTGCCTTCCAAAGACCAATTTCACACTTCCTAATACAACATATTTAAGTCCTTAGAGGGATTGATATTTATTTCGCATATGCTCTTCTTGGTAATTTGACGCTTAAAAAAATGTTTTTTTCGTAACAATATCCAAACAATCAAATCAGATGGTTCTATTTCTCAATCTTTTCGACCTCGGTTCCGTAGGAGCAAATCATAAAGATTGAAAAAAAAATCGGTCACTTTGTGTTTGATTGTTTTCTAATTTTAAATTTTCCTCTTCCTCATGTAAAAAAGGAATAAATCAATCAAATTAAGTTTTACTCGACCAATCTCATAAAATCAACAGTCTTCCGAAATCTAAACCAAACACACACTAAGGCTAAAATATGATACCTTTTAATATGTTTAATCCTTCTCTTGGAGAGAAAAGAATACTTGCAAAATAATCAAAAGTATATAATTGATCTATAAAACTAATTTCTAGAGAAAAAAGGGAAAATTTGGAATGATCACAAAAAAGTGAGTCATGTGATGATAATCATAATATACTGTACTAGCACCCTTTCTAATGTCATTTGAGCTTGTCCTAGCCCGGATGATAAATGACAAGCAAATACAGAAAAATGGACAATGACATGAAACTTCCAAAAGGAAAAGGTTAAAAATTTGGTGGCTTAGACTAATCATATATTCTGAACCAACAAAGCTCAGTATTGACCCATTGCAAAGCAAATACCAACAAAACCATAAACTATAAACTTAAGACATACTGATTAATTGTTCAATAATAAAAGGATAAAAGCATGCATGAAAGGAGCTCTTACAATGGAAAAGGTGCTTTGCAAGTGTTTCATTGGGCATATATTCTGCTACAAGCAACCTCTCTTCTCCTTCACAACAACAACCTAGCAAATTTGTCAATCTTTGGTTACGAAGCTGACCAACTGATCTTGCTTCCTCCTGCAGTTATGAAAGAAAGTTGTTTTGATTAATTGAAAGTGAAAAGAAAGAGTAAAAGGCAGGCATACCAGTATAACTGGATGCACCATTAGCTTCACAGAAACAATGAAACCTAAACATTTTATTGACTATTATCAGCCCATTGAAAAAAAAAAAAAAAAAACATATTTAGATACAATGTTAAACATTAAACACACTTGCATGTTCCCATCAATGCATATTGACCAAACAACATGAGAAGAATACACAGGCTAGTCAATTGCCATTTGAGAAATTAATTACAGCCGAAAAGAACTAAGAAAAAACTTATTATGATTTATTTATCTCTGATGGTCCACTGGCACTAGTCTAAATCAATACTACGTGTTCGAGTGTAATGCAAAGTAGGTAAACATGTGTTTGTTCAATGCAAGGTCATGAACAGTAGAACTGAGAGTTAAGAGTGTGGTTGAAGAATCAAGAAACCATTAAGGGGGGAAAAACATTTACCAAAAACTGCCGAGCATCAGGCCAAGCATTTCTATTAAACCGCTTAACAGCAATCCTCGTTTGATTCTCCAGCTTCCCTTTATAAACAACATTTGGAGCCTTCTCTCCATGTTCAGATACAATATTCTCAACAGCAAAAGCAGATGTTGCATTCTTAAGTTGCTCCAATGTAAATTCACGGAATGTAGGCCAGTTACTGACCTCAGTTCTATCCTCATTTTCTGGTTCAAACATTAAAATAAATATATATCTTAATTCCTTATCATTACCCAGAAGAATATAAGGCACTAGAGTATGACTTTACCCACCAGCATCTGGAGTTTCAAGAACAGAAGCCTTAACTTGTGAATTCACACAACATGGGATGAGTCTAGAGCACTGAATCCCCATTTTGATATGCTAAAATCAAACTTTGAGTAACAGAAACCTCTTCCACTTTCAATGATACGTCTTTTCCGAATATCTGAAAATGGCAACCACCACTCACTCAGCTCCACCTGGACTTTATCAACCTTATGCACTGCCACAAGAGACCTTCATGTTTGGCTTTAATGACTGGTTACCAAAGCTCATGTATCTGTAATATATTGGAGCCAGAACAGCATGTGAATCACTTAAAATGCATTGTTCAAACGAAGGTAAAAGGGTAAACCAAAAATAAAATTTTGATCTTAACACAAAACAATGGGTCAACATGGTCTTTGATTAGTACCAAGCAATTAAAACAGAATACTCTGTAGAATATGCACCTAATTTTCTGATGTCACTAGCATTAGGAACCTTTTGTAAGGATTAAGGAATAAGTAGTAAACAAAAACCAACAATCAATAAAAACACAACGAATCTAAAAGTACTTCATTTAAACAGAAGGGGGAATATGAGAACTTTTTTGGCTGGGGATCTCATGTTCTCACAACCACAACTAACGACAGCAACAACCCCAATTCAGATGCCCTTTAAATATGACAACCTAACTACTAGTATCTTAGCATTTAAAACTAATGAACATCAAGCATGAAGATGTTACTGCATTCCACCAAATGGGTAAAAGTAAAACACAAATACATATATGCCAAAGATTTAACTTCATATTATAGCCTACCTACCAACTATTATCTTAGAATCTATCTCTCTCTCTCTCTTTTTCTTCTTTTTTTTCAGAGTCAACCCAGTTTCTTCAACTACCACAGAACTGCAACTAAAGTCTTCATTTTTATTTTTATTTTAACTAAAATGCCGAGTAAAAGCACCAACTTTTCCAACCTACTCAAAAAGCTACTTCACCTTTAAACTTCTTACAATCTTCTCCAATGGAAGAGGAAAAAGTTGAACCTCCAGAAGCTGAAAAAAAAAATATCTCTTTCTTTTTTTGTTCTTTTCTTTTCTTTCTCGAACAAATCAACAGCTTTTACAAGATCCACATTTTCGCCCCCAGAACCAAAGTTCGAGTCTTTTCCTCGATCCAATCAAATCCCACAAATCTTTTCTCCCCAGAAAAAATAAGACTTTCCAAAACCACCCCCTCTCTGTTCCAACAGATCAAGTAAACTATTAAAACCCCAAAAATAAAAATAAAATAAAAATTATATTTTTATGAACAGAATCAACTAAGGAGATTAAATAGTGTTGTTTGAGACGCTCAAAGCTTAACTGAAGATCTGACTGAGAAGCAGAAGAAGACTAAGAAGATAGGGATGAATGATGGACTAAACCTTTGGTTTTATAACATAATTTTTTTTTTTTTTTTGGTCTTTTCCTTTTTAATAAATAAATATAAATAAATCAATTATTACCGACATGTCATGAGCGTATGTCATGAGTACAGATTAAAAGATCCGAAATCTGCATGTTATGTTAACAATTTTCTATTAATAATTTGTTGTCACAACACAGTTGCTACGTTTTTTTATTTATTTATTTTTTATACATATTTTCCACCGCCAATTATTTTGGAGGATTTAAAGAGAAGTTATGGAAAATAAATAAATTGAAGTAAAATCTTCATTCTTTGTGGATGCTTACACTTTATCAGAAAAATTAAAATATTTTTCCTCCTTTCGTTTTTATGAGCAGAATGGGGAATTAAGAACAGAAACATATTGAAATCTTTTGTCATAAACATCGAGATTTGTCCCATATCTATGTAGTTAAGCGTATCCTTAGCACATAATGATGTTTAGTGCACAAATTTTGCTTCTAGCTGTCTAGCTTTAAGGAAAACACAAAATGATTGTGCGTTCAACATTTGCAACACATGCTCGATTGTTTCCAACTGTGAGCTGGTTTTTGTGCCCTAAACAATTCCCACTATCCTATTACAGTTGTCATGCTTTTTTTTTTTTTTTTTATAACACAGTTGTCATGCTTTTATACACAAGGATGCTGAATTTTTTTTCCTGTGGTGTAAGTGTAAGACTCCTAAGTTTGTTCGAAATAGACATACATAAAACACAAATCGAAAATAGAAAAGAGAAATTAAAGAAAATATTGACAGTTTTACCTGATTTATCCGATGTAAATTACGTCCAGCTTGTTTGTATTATATTCGTCTCACTTACATTCGTTACAAGTTACCCAATTTACAAAGAAATATAAATAGGATTTAATAATTCTATTTGCCGCTATTCATGAGCCCAGGCCTAAATTACTAAGAAAGGAAAATATAATGAGTCGCTAATAATGAATTAACAATGAGTCATCTATGAGTCAGCAATGAGTCATATATGAGTCAGCAATAAGTCATCAGTAATGAGCGAGACCCCAATTGACTTTTTATTGACCTCCCAACAAAGATGTTTATCTTAATACAAAATATGATGCATACCCAACAAAATTAACACTTGGTATTTAATTTGAAAAAGTAATGCTTGATCAATAAAAGTGATGTGACTTCAAAATATTATTTTTCATAAATCAATGAATAAAAATTTGTGTAGTTTTATTAATAAAAAGTAAATTTATATTATTTAATAAGAATCCTATAAAAAAATTAATTAAAAAATTAAAGTTACATCATCTCATTATATTATTATCATTAAGAATTTTGTAGGGAAAAGGTGAAATTATAAGCGTGTTTTTTCTTGTAAGTTATAATTATTTATGCGACAAAAAAAAAAATCAAAAGTTATGCTCACAAGTCACCACTATAAGCTTATATGAGGTTCGGGGAGGGGAATTATTATCTATATGATGGGGAAAATAAAAATAATGCTCACAACTAAAACTTTGTATGAATTTAGATTATGTTTGGTGTATAGTATAAGATCTGATAGTATAAGGTTTGATTTTATAAAACATGATTAAATTTTAATATTATCTAACCGTTGGAATGATATTATACAAGATAATATAATCCAGTGTTTAGTAATGACCGTATAATACTAGACAATATAAAAAGAAATATTTTTGACAAAAATACTCTTTAATAAATAATTTATATAATTATTCCTAATATATCATATGATATTAATTTTTATAAAAATCTATTGATCAGTGTGTCCAAAAAATATATTAATTTGTATAAAAATAAAAATCTCCAATATTTAAAATTAATATATTGAAAATTTAGTTTTTATTTTAATATTAAATAATATATTAATTATTGAGAATTGCACTAGTCATCTATATTAATATATCAATCTCTTATCAGGCCTAATCTCACAATTTTATGTCTGATAAAGTTATACATTGTTTTAGAAATTGTTCCAATGGTATCCCCCAGCCGAAAGTCAATGACTAATCATCTCGAGGCAGAGAGATCACGCGATCGTGGGTATAACATCTCCCAACAAAGCCTTTTCTATACACACAATCAGGGATCTTACCCTTCTCAGCATGCTTAAAAGATCCAGCTATCTACCAACTCTGTTGAACTTTGTTGATAATTTATATATCATTTTAATTTATTAAGAGATTCGACTGTATAAACTTTTATTATATGATAGTCATACCAAATAATTAAAAATAGCATAAGTATAATAATATAAGCTTATTTATAGCTCACATCAAACAGGCCTTGAGGGACAATCACTCACCCTAGGGCAAAAAAATTAATTTAATGCTTTTTAATAAAATAATTACGCATTTATTACAATTTTGAGAATAATTACGGATCTATTGCACAATGTGACGCCCGATTGAGGCGTCTCACCCTAAGGGGAGAAGCCTCAATAGGGCGTCACTCATCAGGTGTTGACACGTGTCATATTTTTTTCCAAAAAAAAAATAATTTAATCATAAAACTTTTGAAGACCATAACTTTTGACTCGGGTATCCAAATCAGATAATTCTTTTTTTGATTCCACATAACTTTTCGAGATCTACGTAATGACATCTCATTTGATAAATTTTCTTTCTCACAAACATAATTTAAATTTAAATCAGGTAATCCTTCTTCCTTAGATATTTAGAATATTTATTTAATTATTTTCTTTTTTAATACAGATTTTTCAAAATGATTTTTGAGTTTAAATCACAAATTAAATCTTTATTTTGTTTTTCTTATTAATAATAATTGTTACTTTTAATTTAAATCACAAATCAAATTTTTTTTATAATAAAAATAAAAAATTTATTTTTTAATTTAAATCACACATCAAATCTTGATTTATTTTTTATATTAAATCACAAGCGCAGAACTCAAAGGCTTCTTAAATTAAAAATGTGACACGTATCAACATCTGACACGTCATCAATCACGTCTAAATTGAGTTTCAATTAAGAGGCAATCACGCCTAATTTAGGTAATTTTATTTTTGAAAAACATTCATAAGTTATCATTAATTTCAGACCACGAATAATAACCCAGAAGTTTGGTGGCAAAACATGTCGGCCCGCCCCGACACGGTCCCAACCCGCCAAAAGTGGGTTGGCTCGGCCCGCCCCGCCTCTTGAATTTGGGTTAAAAACCCCAACCCGCCCCGTTTTATGGTGGGTTGGCGGGTAAACCCTTTTAAAAAATAACAAATAATTAAAAATAAAAAATAAATTATATTTTAGTAATATTATAATATTAATTACTTTCATATCACATTCCCCTTAGTTTTTTTTAATCTTAAATCTAAATGTATGCTAATATTTATGCAGATATGCTTTACAAACTTGTTTTTATCTCCATATATAAATTATTTTTGTCATAAATAAAGTTTTTCTTCTATATTTTTTCTAGAGAGTACTAAGATAAAAAAAAATTAGATATCACAAAGCTTAAAAAAATAAAACATTACCTAATAGTAAAAAAAAAAAAATTGACCCGGCGGGCCAACCCGACCCGCCGCCAACCTGTTTTGACCCACAACCCAACGGGGCGAGTTGAGGCGGATTGATGGGTTGAAATATGTAACCCAACCCTTCCCGTTTTGGCGGGTTGACCCGTCGGGTTCAACCCATATTGCCACCCCTAGCTTATAGTATTAATCATTAATTTCAAAAATAATATCCTTCTTCTTTAGAGATTTAGAATATTTATTTAATTATTTCTCTTATCACTATAGATTTTTCAAATTGATTTTTTAGTTTAAATCACAAATCAAATCTTTATTTTGTTTTCCTTATTAATAATAATTTTTATTTTTATTTTTAATTTAAATCACAAACCAAATTTTTGTTATAATAAAAAAAAATATAAAAAAAATTTAAATCACAAATCAAAATTTTATTTATTTTTTTATATTAAATCACAAACCCAGAACTCAGGGACTTCTGGGTTTAACCGCTCTTATAATACAATTTTTATAAATTAAAATTATGTTTGTGAGAAATAAAATATATTAAATGAGATTTCATTGCGTAGATCTCAAAAAGTTATGTGGAATCAAAAAAAGAATTACCTGATTTAGATACCCGAGTCAAAAGTTATGGCCTTCAGAAGTTTTATGATTAAATTAGTTTTTTTTTTTGAAAAAAAAAATATGACACGTGTCAAGACCTGATAAGTGACGCCCCATTGAGGCGTCTCCCCTTAGGATGAGACGCCTCAATGGGGCGTATTATGCAATAAATCCGTAATTATTTCCAAAACTGTAATAAATACGTAATTATTTTATTAAAGAGCATTAAATTAATTTTTTTTCCCTCACCCTAGACATGCTTTTTCAACCACTGACACAAAGTAGCAAGTTTAAAGCTGGCAACCTGATATGCAACCCGTTTATATATTGAAAATGTAATTTTTTTACTCTTTTATTTCTTTTAAAAATTGTGCAGCGGAGAGAAATAAAAGGTACAATATAAAGACCGAAGAAATATTATGTTGTATGAAAAGTGATTGTGTAATGTTATAGAGATTTGTTTTGCGTGTCATAATAATTTGTTTTCCTTTTTTCTCCAAAAAGTATGGACCCCACAAAATATTATGTGTATAGAAAAGTTTGTTGTGTCATGGTAAATGACAAATGCAAACCCCAATATGACTAATGTTTTATAAACAAAATAAAAAAATTCTAGGTCAACTCACCCTCAAGTACGGTTCAACCTATTTTGGCTCGCACTTATACAGGACGGGTTTAAATGATTTAGAACCAACTTATATGGTGGGTGAGAGAAAGTAACTCGACTGATATTAGACCCATTTTACTTTCTACGTACCAAATACCAACATAGCTTAAACTATCGGGAGAAAAAAGAAAAACCGAAACCATGGTATTATGGTA